AAACATTAACTTTATAACTTTTCATACATGCCGTACCCGGAGGTACCATTTGACATGAAGGGATATGCCGTACCCGAGGGCACTATTTGACATATGAACATTTCTTCAACATAGAGGGGTATGCCGTACTGGAGTACCATTTGACATACAACCATTAACATGAATCGAAACTTATAACTTAACACGATTAAACACATTGCACCTCTACCTACCTTGATTGATGCTTTTGAAACTTTGAGAACTTGGATTGAAAACTTCGATGAAACTTGGACGTTGAAAGAAATGCACTCCTTGGATGTTTGAAAATCGTTGAGAATTGATGCTTGAAAACACTTCTTAAACTTCTAGGAAAAATAGTTTTCCTCCCTCTCTTTTTCTCTCTTGGAAACTCTTTCTTTAGTATGTAAAAGCTCTTGCTTTTGGTGTGAGAAAAATGAGTGAAATGAGGTCTCTATTTATAGGTAAATTTTCCATAACTTAAAGCAAATGAAGGGTCAAATTTCATTTAAGAGAGAAAACATGGGTGCCATTTAAGTTTGAGGTTAAATGCTTCAATTTAGTGGGGTTTTTATTGCCAAAAACGTGGGTGGCCCTTTGAAAAAATAATTGATGAAAATAAATATTTAAATTCTAGAGAAAAACGAGAATTTTCATTTCAGGCAGTTTCGGTCGACTGGTTGACACTGCACAACCTTCACTCTTTCTATCATAACTTCTTCTCCCGATATCCAATTGAGATAATTCAAAGTGAGTTGGAAAGCTAACTTAAAGAGATACAACATTTATTTAGATATTGTTTCCCAAATCGAATGTTTCCTATGTCAAACATGGGTCTCAAATGCGACTAAAAATCTAAAGTATACTTTAGTCATCCAATATTCATGTCTTAGTGCCACAAAGGTATCTAGAATTATTTGGGGGTTATACATGTACAATAGGTTAATGTCACGTGGTAAAGTGTAAACTAAAGTGTAAACCATAGTGTACATGTAGCATAGTTTTTACCGATTGAACTTTGTTATTTGTACTCTGATTTTTGACATGTTGTTTAACACTTGTATTGTTGTCAAGTGTCAACTGGATGGGAAAACTATTTGAAATTTATACAATCTATCATGGTAGCATCACGTGACAAAGTGTAAACAAAAGTGTACACCATAGTGTACATGTAGCATGGTTCTTACCGATTGAACTTTGCTATTCGTACACTGATTTTTGACACGTTGTATGACACTTACATTGTTTTCAAGTGTCAATTGGATGGGAAAACAGTTTGAAATCTAAACTGTCCAACAGGGTAATGTCACATGGTAAAGTGTAAATTAAAGTGTACACCATTGTGTATATGTAGCAAGATTCTTATCGATTGAACTTTCCTATTTATACGCTGATGTTTGACACGTTTTTTGACACTTGCCTTGTTGTCAAGTGTTAGTTGGATGGGTAAACTGTTTGAAATTTATACAATCTAACAGGGTAATGTCACGTGACAGAGTGTAAACAAAAGTGTACACCATAGTGTACATGTAGCAAGGTTCTTACCGATTGAACTTTGCTATTTGTATACTAATTTTAGACACGTTGTTTGGCACTTGCATTGTTGTCAAGTGTCAATTGGATGGGAAAACTGTTTGAAATTTAAATTGTTCAACAGTATAATGTCACATTGTATAGTGTAAATTAAAGTGTATACCATCGTGTACATGTAGCAAGATTCTTACCGATTGAACATTCCTATTTGTACGCTAACGTTTGACACATTTTTTGACACTTGTGTTGTTGTCAAGTGGATGGAAAAACTGTTTGAAATTTATACAACAGCTCAACCACCCCAAACTATCCTAGAATTGGTTTAGTTGGAATTTTTTTTTTGTCATAGTTAATTCTACATATTCTATCCATTGATCCAATCTAAATAATATGTGATTTTCATGATCATTGTGCTCAATGTAGATCGATCTAACATGAACAAGCTTAAACTAAATCAAAGTAGCATTCCCTAGTCATAATAATATAAAAACAATTTCAAATATTATCATCGGTCAGTAAGAAAATTATTATTATTATTTTTTTTAACATTTTGATTCCTTTCCCCCAACCTAAATGAATCATTGTCCTCAATGTAAAGATTAAATGTGCAAAATATATGAAGGACAATAAGGAGCAAAATTTTGAACAAAGGGACGAATTTTGAGTTTTACTTGGAAAGTCTGCATAAACTTGGCCTAAATGATCCTTCAATTTCATTTGTAAAAAAAAAAAAAAATAAAATAAAAGAAACACACCTAAAAAAAAACACACAACATTATAAAACTGAAAATAAACATACAAAATAAAATAAAAAGAAAAGGATATCAATCTTTAGAATCATGTATAGCAATGGACTCTTCCAATTTAGAGAAATTCTCAAAAAATGGTTGCAAATCGAGCTTTGGTTCTTGAACACTTGAAATCATATGCGAATTTTTAGAATTATCATTGAATTCAAATTCAAGCGCATCATATGAAGATGTAGCGGTAAATTGATCATCAACAAGTTGTTCAATAAGATCTACTTCATGCAAATCATCTTCATCTCCATGTTGCTTGCAAATGTTAAAAATATTCATTTCCACGGTCATATTTCCAAAAGAGAGTTTTAAGATACCATTTCTACAATTTATCAATGCATTTGAAGTAGCAAGAAAGGGACGTCCTAGAATGACAGGTATTTGTGCATTCGAATTTAAAACAGGATGTGTGTCCAAAACTATAAAATCAACAGGAAAATAGAATTTATCAATTTGAACTAGAACATCCTCTACAACCCCTCTTGGAACTTTTACTGAACGATCAGCAAGTTGAAGTGTTGTTGTTGTTGGTTTAAGCTCTCCCAAACCAAGTTGCTCATACACAGAAAAAGGTAATAGATTAACACTAGCACCAAGATCAAGCAAAGCACGCTCTATCCTATTATTCCCAATCACACAAGAAATTGTGGGATAACCAGGATCTTTGAATTTAGGTGGAGTGTTTTGTTGAATGATCGAGCTCACATTCTCTGTTAAAAATACTTTTTGTTGAACATTAAGTTTCCTCTTAATAGTGCACAAGTCTTTTAAAAATTTTGCATATGAAGGTACTTGTTTGATTGCATCCAATAATGGTATGTTAATTTTGACTTGTTTGAAAAGTTCAAAAATTTTAGAATTATGGTTGAGTTTTGAAATTGGTTGCAATCGTTGAGGAAATGGAGCTGGAATGGGAGATTTTTCAACAATAGGTTCAGAAATGATCTTTTCCTCACTTTTGGAAACATCATTTTCTTGCTTTGAAGTACCACCAGATTTTAGTTCTTTTGAAGGGATGGTTTTGTCAATAATTTTTCCACTACGAAGAGTCGTGATGGAGTTGGCATTTTGTTGTTGACTTTCAGAAGAACTAGAAGCGTTTACATTATATTGCTGAGAAGGATTTGGTTGAGGTTGAGCAGGAAATTTTCCTTTCTCTTGAGAATGCAAAGAAGAAGTCAATGAAGAAAGTGTGTTCTTAATTTCATTGATGGCTTGTGAAGTTTGATTATTAATATTTGCTTGTCCTTGCATAAAAGATTGCAATGTTTCCTCAAGAGTCTTTGATTGTGGTGGTGGAAAAGAAGGAAATTTTGAAAGCCCTTGAGGTTGAGATATATGAACACGATTATCATCTCTCCAACTAAAGTTGGGATGATTTCTCCATTGTTGATTATATGTTTCTGAGTATGGCGAAGAAAAAGGCTTTTTGAAAGTGTTCATAGCATTGCCTTGATCATGTAAAACTTCTTTGAAAATTGGAATGTTAGGACAATCATGCGTAAGATGACCAAAAGTTTCACAATTGCTACAAATTTCATCATTTTGCACGGGTTTAACTTCCTTTACTTTCCTTAATTCCATAGCTTCAACCTTTCTAGACAAACTA